TATATATATATACACATACACACACACACACAATATAGTTGGCCATCTGATTGATCTGTTTCATTCAGCGTTTTGAAAGAGTGTTAAATGACACTCAATCTCCAAAAGAGAGACTGTGAGATAGTGATTTGATAAGACCTGCAATTATCTTGAAGTCAATGAGAAGATGTCAAATTGGGCCATTGGAGAATATAAAAAGCAGAAAATGGCAATATATATATATATATACACATACACACACACACACAATATAGTTGGCCATCTGATTGATCTGTTTCATTCAGCGTTTTGAAAGAGTGTTAAATGACACTCAATCTCCAAAAGAGAGACTGTGAGATAGTGATTTGATAAGACCTGCAATTATCTTGAAGTCAATGAGAAGATGTCAAATTGGGCCATTGGAGAATATAAAAAGCAGAAAATGGCAATAAAAAAATACTTTCAGCGCCTTTCTGATCAGACAGCAAGAGCATGCACCTGCATGTGAAATGTGCCTTAATCTCTATTTCTTTTTTTTTATTTTTTATTGCCAGTAAGGAGATAGACTCCGTTCTCAAAGGTTGTTTACGATATCCGAATCATTTTTGCTGCTGATTTACATTCGCATATTACATAATATATTTCATGTCCCTTGGTGCATATGTGGCCCACGTCTTTGATTCAGTGTTTTGTCCTCTCTAGTGTGTAACTCTCATTCCCTTTGTGTTCCCTGTCCACCCTGTACTTTCATGTTTCGCCATCATGGACACTTTCAATTCTCACCTGTCTCGCCCACCTTTCTGCAACAGTGAATTGGGCTGATTTCCCCACCTCAGCTCTACTCCTACCTTACCATATTATTCTGACAGCCTCGTTTGATTCACTTTCCATCTCCCTGTTGCTCATATTTTGGCCACGGTCATTTTTTTTTTACGTTATCTATGTTTGTAAGAGGCGTGTCAGAAAAGTTCCAGGACTGGCATTGGTAAATTTCAAACTATACAAAGAATTCCTGTAGCATTTGCTTCATTCTGTACTTGAGAAGAGGCGTGAACAACTCGTGGCCGCTTCTCCATGACTACTCGCCTGGTCACAATGCCCCGAGCATCCAACAGTTCTTGGCTGAGAATAGATTTGCCATGCAGGTGCAACATCCTGACTCACCCAACCTGGGATTGTGTGATTTTTTTTTTTCTCTCCATCCCAAGTTCAAGCAGGGCAGATAGGCCTCCCGTTTTGATGACCATGATGATAGAATTGTGGAGGGTATGCGAAAAAAAAAACTTCCAAGAATGCATAAAGTGTAGTGAAGGCAGGGAGATTACTTTGAAGGAGAAAACGTGCTCTTTGTAGTTCGAATATACCTTTTGTGACACCAGTCCTTGAAATTTTGTGACACCTTTTGTCTACCAAATTGCAGATACTGAGTGGGGTGATGCTGGAGGTGCTGTCTGAAGACTTCCCGGAATTCTTCACAGCAGAAGTGCAGATGGTGTGGACCAAACTCATGGGTGCTGTGTACTGGCATGTGACGGGGGCCTACACAGATGTGGGCTGGCTGCAGGTCTCAAGCTCGGCCGTGTGAAGGGTCAGTGTAAAGAAAATGTGGACTTGGGAAAAAAAAATGAAAAAGGAGATTGACCTGTTTTTCCTCATTGCTGAAGCTCAAATCTTGCCAGCTTGGTTTCATCGGCATGGATCTTGATAATAGTGCTGTTGTTGATGATGATGATGATGATGATGATGATAATGATGAGTGAAATGTTCATCCACACAACTGCTCTGCTTATTTTCGTGACATTTTGGTGCTGGGGCTTTATTTTTGAGTGTTTTGTTCACTACTTTTCCCGGATAACCCCGAACAATGTAGGCTGGCGACATCTGCAAACACTAATGACATTTTAGCTCAAGTAATAATGGTTATGTACGTGCTTTAAATACACCATGGGTAATGGTAATTACCTAGTCAACTGTCTACTATTGCCAATTCCACAAGGGAAGTAAAAGCATGACTTCAAGTGAGTGAAGTCCGGCGGGGGTGGTGCCTTCCCAATTTCCTGCCCACGTACTTTCCCCTTCCCTGCACATCTCGCGCATGTCAAGCACTTTTCTCCGAGACATTTATTTTCTTTAGATGATTTAAAAATAAATACCGGTAAATCGATTAATGATTTCTCCCGTGAGTTTTCCCTGTCAAAAAGCATGAGACATAGATTAAATGGTGCTCATTTTGCTCCCTATATTAATTCATCTGTCTAGTGAGCTCATAGATTTTTTTGTTGCTTCTTGTTCATTTAAGAGCACGGAAAACATACAACACAACTAACATTGGCCACTTGTACTGTTGGAAAGCCTGTTTTCCCTTTTAAAAAAAAAGATGCCCCATGTCAACTGCATCAAATTATCACTCCCGATATGGCATATAGCTTAGTCTCTCCCTGATGAGGCACTTTCTTTGGTTTATTGAAGTCTTATGGGTAATAGGGAATAAACAAGACACATTGTTCTTTTTACAATGTATTATCTTAACAGAAGGAGGCTTCCTAGTGTGCATATGAACCAGACACATCCTGGTCACTCACCGCTGCAGTCTGGCATTTCATTGTTCAACCGGGAGTCATCAGTCAAATGGTGGTTGTGTTTGGTCACTTTAGCATGAATAGCACCCTCAGGATGATCACAAAAGGGTTCAGATTAGATGAGGTCAGGACTATTGGCAGGTTCCTCCATATCTTGTACTCCCAGATTGCCGCTTTTGCCATCTGTATCTCTCTGCATTGGCATTGCACTCTATGATGACAAGCCTCATTTTTCCAGTGATGGAGATGCTGAACCACAACATCACAAGGTGTTACTCTTTCCATGCAGCACTTTGCCTGGAGATTGGCTGCATGCAATATTTCCCCCACCCCCAAATTGTCTGGACAGAGAGCCGTTTGCCACATCACCGTTCCATTTCAAAGAAAAAAATAAAATCTGTCTTCTTGGAAACCCCACTTGGCCGTTTTTCATTAATGTATTCGCTGCTTTTTGGGACTAGGCTGTCAGTTCAGTTCACAGGTGGTATGGGCTCACTGCAAATAATGCAGCCACTTCCTTTGGCTGAAAACCACTTTGAACTTTGCCTGGCATGTAGATTCCAACAGCAGACACCAAATGAACATTTTAAATGATGACAACCATATCAATTACATAAGTAGAATAGGCAATACGGCATACATTTGGCATATTACATGACACAAATACTCTTTTGTGTCCTTCATTCCAACAATGGATGTTCTTTACGAATGGAAATAAACAGGCTTTTCAATGGTGTCAAATGTATTTAAAAAAGCATTGTTTTAAGAAATAATTGACTGAACACACTTTGGATCCTTTTTTTGGGGGGGGTGTTGAACTTTTTTCTAATAATAAAAATGGAATTATTAATTGATGCTTTGTCTTGGAACTAATAGCCTGCCTGACATGGTAACGTGCCGCTTATTAACACATACAATATTTACATTTTAATTTGCCATATCTTCTCCGAGGCTGTCTGTATACTGATTAATCCTAATAATTCATTTGTTTTTTTTTTCAAATGTCCAGAAATGCAGCATAAAAAAATATATCTTGCGACATAAAATGTCATTCATCTGGAATTCTGCTAAGCTACATGCATCCTCAAGTCACACATATTGTATGAATACACCTCGTGATATTTTGGACGTCATATTAAAATGTTTCGACAGGGAATGATTTTAAGATCTAAGAGTACGGGGCAGTCAATTGTTGAAGCCCTAACTTTGGGACCATGGAACTGCTGACTGTTATTTGTTTTTTACTCTTTGTGTCCTGTAATCCCCAGATTTAATGGGGCTGTGCTACTCTTTGGCTCTATATTGATGCATTATGCGCTCTAAATATCTTGTCATATGTACAAGTGAACCATGTGTAAGTGTACATGTACTCTTCTGCCTTCATAATTTACTTCCACATGAATCACTTTCCGCACCAAAGAGGGCTGTTCACTCGTTTTGGTGAAGTGCTTTAGATTTTTGGCCCACTCTCTTTTAGACAAACACAATGACGCTGAGAAAGTAAGATGGAAAATATCCGCAGGTGGGCACGATCAGCAACCACAAATGTACACCTTTCACCGACAGTCCTCTGCTTTGCTAATATTTACAAGCCTGTCACTTAGTTTACCTCATCAGAGAGACATGCCACATTAAAGGCTCCATTAAGAGCTTTAAATACTCTTCTGGAGGTCTCGGAAACAGAGAGCATGTTCTAACAAGAATTTCGTAAAGTTTTTGTAGTTAGGGCACAGCAGAGAAATGCCACATGCCCCACCCGTCTAACTCCTTGAAATAATGACAACGTGTAGCATTTTTGCATGCACTGCCATTTATAGTCCCCATCAGTCTATTGAATTCCCAAGCATACACTGCAAATCTGTTTAGGATGGACATCTGATCCAATCTTGAGCTTGCATCTGCGCCACTGATGTCCTGTTTCTCCTATTCGACCCTCGTTGCCATCAGCATCTGGCATTTACGAGGAGGCAATGAGTCTCCACTCCTCCTCATCTGGTCATTCATCTACTTTAACGAAACATCCCATTGCTTCGGTAATGATCATCTTCACTGAGAGCTGAAACACTTTTACAAACGGCCGTATGCTGTCATCCATCATATAATCTCATTCGCTGACAATCCTTCTTCATAAGCATCTCTTCCAATCATTTAGAAGGCATTCCCTTTCGTTTGCAACCAATAATGAATTGGAAAATTAAAAGAAAGAATTGTCTTGAACGCGGATTCATTTTTGTTCTGACTATTTTCATCCATTCATCCATTTTCCGATCCACTTTATCCTCACATGGATCGCGGGGTGTGCTGGGGCCTATCCCAGCTGTGTTGGGGCAGTGGGCCGGGGACACCCTAAACCGGTTGCCAGCCAATCGCAAGGCACACATAGACAAACAACCAGCCACGCTCACGCTCACACCTAGGGACGATATGGAGTGTTCAATCAGCCTGCCATGCATGTTTTTGGAATGTGGGAGGAAACCGGAAACCCATGCAGGCACGGGGAGAACATGCAAACTCCACACACGAAGGCCGGAGCCGGGATCGAACCCACGACCTCTGCACTGTGAGTTTGACGCACTAACCACTGGACCACTGGGTCGCCACTATTTTCACCTATATGAAATGAAATCAAATGAAATTTTGATCTACGGTGACAAAATCAAGAAAGACTTCTCCTGATCCATCCATCCATCCATCCAACACCTTCTCTGCTGGCCGACATTTACAACCTAATTTCAATAAAATGGTATTAATTTATTCGCAACAGTTGATTTTTACATCTTTTCCTTGTTACCCTTTTTGTCCAATCAATTTTCAGCCTTTCTGTGCTGCCATGTCAATCAACTCTGCCCAGGATCATCAGAATTAATGTAGCTGGCGGTTTGCTGGTGTCATTTGGAATATTTGTGATTCCTTTCACCACTCAGATTGAAACTTCATCCTCACAAGATCAGCAAATGTATAAAACATTGTGTTCTTATGGAAGACGCAAGTCAGTTTCGAGTTCCACCGAGAGATTATAAAACCCCAAAATTGCCCGTCATAAATGATCCGCCAGCCTATGACTGGATTCACTAGGTTCAATTGTAATCGTTGTCATCTGTGCGCCAAGAAAATCATATACTGTACAAACACATAGTGGGTTGCTGCTCTTCCCAACCTTAAGGCTTTTTGATTTTCAAGTTGCTTCATATGCTCATCACTGTATTAACACGCACAGACACGTAGATACAAGATCGCTACGACCCTTTTTGTGATTGTGCGTTAAATTAGCTGACTCCGAAATGTCCACGCATGCCAAGTATGCCAGAGCACTTAATCCAATATATACTTCTAAAAGATAATGGCACATCTAACACGCTTGCTCTCTCATTGCTTATCAAGGCATCACAACATTTATGTGGAAGTACCTGTTGTTTTTGACATTCTTTTGCCAATCAGCTGTTCAACTTAAAAGTGCAGACCTCATTATATTTTTCTAAGTCTAACTATGAAAATGATTTGACATTTTTGAATACTATATTATGTTACTGTATACCGTTGTTGGTGGGAGCAAGTGCAGTGGCTTTGTCGTGTTTCAAGCATGTTTGAACATCTTGCCACAAACTCGTACCTCTGTAGACGTGGTGAACATGAAAATGGTCAATAAAATGCACTTGAACATTGGCTGCTTTCCTGTTTCAGGCTCATTTTGGCTAAAAGGGTGTCACAGTTCTTATTCAGTTCTTCTTGTGATAGGCGAAAACATAGGCTTAATGTGAAATTCTGTACAGGTTACTGCTGTGCATTTGAATGTTGTTAAAGTCTACATTTTCTGCATACATGACACATCACATTGAAGTGAAGCGAGAGAGACTTACTGAAGGCAGCTGGTCTATCTATGACACTGTTTAACATCCCTCACCGTCATTTAAATGCAAAAACGAGTCAAGCGCTTCACCGTTCACATTGATTGCATGGCACGGAGCACGACACAGTGACATAAGTGCAGAGGGAGGATTACTGTGTACTTGAGGTGAGTCTCTTTGCCGTAAGGCGTAAGCTGTTAACCCTCCATGCAGAAGTGAATAAGCAATGTTGACGTAACTGCTCACCATTATATATGCACATGTACCACTTCTCGATGTTTCACAAAGTTTAATTTCCAGTTGTTTAGTCCTTAACATATTTCTACCTCTTCGCAATTACTGGTACCCTACTGTGGTCGCATCATAAAACACACACACACACACACACACACACACGCACACACACACCCACACACACACACACACACACACACACACACACACACACACACACACACACGCATGCATATATTTGGTGAAACACTCCCCACTTGGCTGTTTATGTTTTGGCCAAAGCCCCGTCTAATACAAAAGTATGGCTTTGGCGCCATCTTGAAAATATGTTAAAGAGAGCGCAGGAGTTTCATTTAGTCAATCCTTTGTGCTGTCGAAAAGGAAATAAGTATTTTGCCACCAAGATGTTGGCAAATGACCTATATAGTCAATAAACTTGTTTTTTTCTCTGTGCGGAGGGTAATAATTTACTCACAGATTTTCACTGCTCAAGACAGGGCTCAGTCCTTACCTCCCAGTACAGGTGGGGAACATTGAGCACATAATCTGGCCAAAATATAAAGAAAGGTTCTGGGATACTGGTGACAAAGTCACCGGGATGACACAAGCAGAGAGCTGGAGAAGACAAAATGATGCGAAAGGAGCTGATTGGCGGACGCAAGGGAAACTGCCCCCACACCGAGTTTTTCTGCCCATGACTTTCAGCTA